TGTGGAACGCTTAGTATTAAACAGAAAAATGGCCAATTCAAATTTCTGGATTGGTCTGGCAATGCCAGGCTTGTAATATACTGGTGATTACTCAAGTGTAAAATTATATAATAGTTTCCCTCTATCTGTAGGTGCATATTCAGACTTTACCCTGGGCAAAGGAGAGCGTAGTTGGGCCAATTGCAGGCCTGGAACCAGGGGGACAACAAGGCGGTTGGGCAACACCAAGAAGGAGGCAATGGCATCCATAATCATGCTGTCAGACATGACACTGGGACAAAAGAGAAACAGAATTATAATGAAAATGTACTGTATTGACTATATCATTAACTATTCACTAAAATATTGTGAGGTTATGTTCATTACAGGGTTGAGGACTATTACTATTGTGTAAACCAATAATAGGTGATTTTAGAATGACTTACTTTAGTCCAGGGATGTCCAACAAATTAGTCATTCCAGTCCAATTGATGTCAAGTTTCTAGGAAGAGATAAGACAGAGGAACTGCATGTAGCAAATCCATTGGGATTAATGAGAAATCAATAGCACGAAATGCATACGAGGCTATACAGAGATACATGATAGTCACAGGAATAGGGATTGAGGGGCAACAAGAAAAGGACAAATAGAGGTGAATGTGGATGGACGTACAGGCCGACGAATGAAAAACATGGTGACCGCACCCACTATGGGCACATCTCCAATCAGAGGCTCCAGAATCACCCGCATCACCCCATGCAGCTAAAGACAAACAGAAATGAAGTTTGTGAAAAACATGGATAAATGTTTACAGAATGGCTGCATATTTTAGTTAGCCCTTTAGCTAGGCAACGTCTATTGATTACATGTTACTCTGCATTTCAGTCAAATAACACTTTTAAGCTTGAAAAGAAGACCCACCTGTATTCCTTTGACTCCAGCTTTGCAGAAGTATCTCTTCACTTCAACATTGATCTCTACATTGCCAACATAGCTGAGGATACAAAGAACAAAAATTTCATCTACAATTATGCCTTTTAAAAGCTGTAATAGACAGATGACAGTGACTCGCTAATCCAAGGAGCAACAGATAAACATAAATTCACCTAATATACAGATCTAGCAGGACTTGTCCTTTGTCATTCTCTGTGTGTGCCTTGATCCCTACAACCTTCATGGCCTGGAGCAAACAGAAAGCACATTTGATTGCACAATATAAACAACAGGGACTATTTACTGCAGTGTCTTATTGTAGTTACAATATCCACGACATCACCTTGTCTCCCATGTCCACTTTTGTGAAGGTGAGGGTTTGGAGGTGGGGGCTTGAGCCTCGGATAGATGGAGCAATGGTTTCCACCAGCAGCTTCTCAAGATACTGGCCGACAAAGGGCCACACCTGCTGCAGGACCTAGCCAGCAACAACAACAACATGGTTATAAGCTGCTTTTATTACACACAGCGCAATATTCAATGTGCACCCCTGCAACCAGAGACCGCTTCTTTAAGTAAACAGTCATTTAGCCACATAGCAACGAAACCAATTGTCAAATGCCTTGGCTTCCATAAGCAATAACTGGAGAATGGCAAAGACAGCTGTGGCCAGTTGAGTCTCTTCAGCTGTTAGTCATCTACTTTGGGTCCTTACATGTACCACAATGAATCTGGTTCTCTACATGTGCTCACTTTTTATATATGAGTGTTGCTACATAAACATGTTATGTCTTCTTTTTCCTACAGGGGAATATAACCAAAAGCAGAGGCAATGTTTGCTTGTGTGACTGTGGAAAAAAAAAACAGAGTTGGTTACAGTCTGGCATTATTGGAGAGTGAGTCATCAGCTGCCTTCTCCTGTGGAGGATGAAGCCTGAAATACACGGAAAACTGCTGACCTCCCCTCCAGTAACCAGTCTCAAACCTCTGCTTTGTCTGGCTCTCTAATGCTTAGATCTCGTGGTCTTGTTAGCATGAATAATTTTATTTCTGTATGTCTATATTAGTGGCTCTGGTTCTCGGCCTAGAAGAGCAAAGGGGGTGGGGGCTGGAGGGGACAATGGGTGCAGTTTTATTTAGTTTGGGGGGCTGGGCAGCTTCTCCCTCTTCCTGTGAGCTAGCGTGCAATGAAATGGAAATGTTGAGAAGGTTACCTGGCAGTGGGCCTGCTCTCTGCAGTACAGACAAAGTGGCTACACTAATGGAGGTGTGGCCTTTTCTGGAACATGGCATCAACAGCAGCAGTCTATCAGCTAGCACCAGCTATTAACATAGCATACTCTACAGAGTGTCAATCAGCACAACAGCTGGGCAATTGAACAGAGAGATGTATGTGTGTGTGCTGTGGGCATAATAACAGAGGAATAACTAGTGTGTTTGTGTAAAGTCATATGGAGAAAAGGTGAAGCACAATAGGAAATCACTGATATATTACCTTATTCAGCCACTCAACCTTCTCAACATCTGGAAAGTTGACCTGAAGGAAAGACAAACAATGAGAGTACATACTTAAATTATGCATAGAGCCGGATAAACACACAACAGGAAATGATTTAGACACAGCTGATGCTGTTCTGGAAATGTCATCAGTAGTACTGTTGATATCATCTTAGTGCTTTTTGCCTCAGGTTTTAGACTGACCAAATATGTCCAAAAGTAAAAAGGGCAGCATAGAAAACTGCAGCAACTGTCCATTCAAAGATATCTTTGGACAAAACAGCAGGCTATAAATTGGTTTACCTTTGATCATACTTTTACAATATAAGTGACTGAAATGTCCTCTCGATTTATATATATTAGAAAATTCTAACGTGTAATTTTTTACGCATACTGGACAACAGCACTGGAGAGCAACATGGAGATGCCCCTTTTCGAATAATTTGAGGAGAAGCATGCATGCTGTGTGGTTCGGCAAGCAATCTCTGTAATCACTCACTGAAAAACGTAACCACAGGAATTTGGGTGTGGCTAGATATTCTGAGGCAAAATATGCCCATGTGGGTTTCAGCATTATGGGAACATACTCTCAGGATGTATGCCATGCAGATCATGAGTAGTACTTCTCACGCATTTTCCAGCCACATTTACTTGAAAATCCACAACGGAAAAGAGGGTTTAAGTGTTGTTGTTTTTGTTGCAATGCACTCAGAGTTCAGTCTTGAAATACAAACACACGCATGCAGTAAATGTGGCTCCTGTCGTCGCAGAAGTGTGGGAACAAAGTTCTGCAAGTTACTAAAAAGGGACTGGTTGCATACATGTTCCAGTTAGGAGCTTTGCATCATGGGTAACAAAAAAATGGGGACAAGGCATTTATGTGAAGAAGAAAAAAAAGACACTGACCCCAATAGCAGTGCCTGTATCTCCATACATATCTTCCATATGAGGAAGTGATTCATGGGAACATTCCCCTAACCCCTTTTTAATAGACACCTGGATTTTTTTCGTACCAGGACAGCTTATAGAAATGTCCTAAAATGCCTACAATGTTATAAAACGCCAGGAGTGATACCATATCAGCTAAAAATCGCGTAAAAACTGGTTAGGCCGTTTACTGAAAACAAACTCTTTGTCACATCCTGCAAGTCCCTGCATGCTGGTGATATAACTTAGGCCTAAGTTAAGTGATGCTTGGGTTCATTCGCTTTACACGACGTTGCTGTAGTTCAAAGTGGGATAATAAAGAGCTGCTGTATAATGATTTTTGATGACACCCGCTGACAGCTGTTAAGTCTAGCGTCTTGTCTTACCCATGCAGGAAGGTCTCGCTTGATTTTGGACACCTTCATGGTTGTGAACTCCTCCTCGTTGTCGAGAAACTGTATGGCTGACTTCAGGCGTGCCTCCTTGGCTTCTCGGACATGTTTCCATCCCGTGTAGACCATCATCCCGAACATCAACAGACTGGTGCTGACCCGGTAATAACCGGCCAGGTAAACGGGCAGCAAGGCTCCCAGACATTTCCCAAACGTCCACAGCACCGCGACGGCACTTATCCCCTTGGGTTTGGGAGCTTCCGTCTCCACGGTTCTCAGAGCTTTCTTCTCGGGTCCACTTGTGCTCGGACAGTCGGTGCCTTTGGGTTCAATCGGGTCAGATTTGTCGCTTTGCATAGTGGTAACTTCCGAAGCAAAGAAATACTCACTAATACGTTACCGTTGGATAAACAAATATTAAGCTACTAGCGTCGGCTGACTACGGTAACTTAAGTTGCAATGTGGTCCTTACGCTGCCTAGTTTACTGTTAGTATGTGTCGCATTTTCTGTATCGCTGCTGAAACGTATTTCTTGCGGCAGTTCCACTGAAGAGAAACGGGTCTAGAAGAGTCCGACAGTAAGTTCTGCTCCTCGCCAAATCCCGTTATCTCGACAACTGCATGAAAACACGCCCACTGACTGAAGCGAAACACGCTGAGACTCTTTCGCTGCTGCGGCAAGACAGTCATCAAATTTGTAGCAATTAGCCTACCGCAACGTGACGTTGTCGAAAACCGCTGTGTTGCACGGCATTGCGGGTATCATTTCACTGTCTACTAAAACGTTACGTGTCTGGCAAAGCACAGAGCTGCTGAAGTTCAGGGAGAAAATACAGGTGTTACAGTCATATAGCCACTGATTCGTATCAAATCGTTAACCCATCAATACTGCAAGACAATACTTTCTGCTGCTCCGGTTTGTTTTAAAACAGCAGACCTTGCATTCTCCTCAATCCCTAAATCCGGCATGAGCACACAAGCCCGGGCTATGACTCCCAGCGCTTATGGTACACCCACACCAAAATATTCCACTTGTTTCAAAAGGCACAGGGATTTGAGGCTGCTGAAGTAGCATAAGGGATTACATTCAAGTTTACACAATGTGACTCCACCCAAACGTCTGCAAGGGGATGTGAGACATGACACAACACTTGATACTAGAAACTGTCTCTCTCTTTGTGCATGACTTATTTACCTGTGTGAGCTGTGAATGTAAAAGTAGTTGTGACTAGAAGAAGGCAGCTGTAAACAAAGTGACAGACAACACAAGATTCATTGTTGAGTGTTTGTTCTTTTTTTTAAATGCGCAAAGTACCAAAGTTAATTTACACCAGAGCGATTCACAAAAATAGAAACACAAATGGCTTCACATGTCCACAACGATGGCACAGCGGCCTTGCAGAAATGGTTGAAACACTATAGAAGAGCTCACACATTTGCAGTGTGTTTAGTCCATTTTTTGTGCCCATGCTTGAAAAGGTCTGTTTGGGTCAGTCTGTAGGAAGAAATGTATTTGTGATGTTGCTGAAGGAGGCTGAACAGAGCAGCCTTCATCCTGCCCTCTGGTGGAGAAGTACCATCACTCTTCTGTTATCAGTTAAGTCTCATACACATAAAAGAAGACAATATGTTAAAAATCCCTGTTAAGGATGCTACAGTCTGACATGAGGGTACTACAGTGCTGTAATGAATCAGTTAGTGAGGCAGAGTGGTGATCCTCATGCTTTGACTCGCAATGGGGTAGGACACCATCGGGGTGGTGGCGTGACTCATGGTGATGCCAGGTAGAGGCTGCGTCATGGACACTGCCACTGGGGCCACGGATACAGCCACCGGTGCCATAGAAACAGGTGGTGCCATCCCTTGGGCAATGGTCTGCGCAAGGGCGGCCGAGAGGGGCGTGATCTCAGGGTTTAGGTGGGGCGGAGGGGCTGTAGGTGGGGCAGCATTAGTCGGGGGCGCTGCGGGGGCGCCAGTGGGAGCGACCAGGTCTTGCTGGGTGACAGGCCGAGGCTGCAGTCCAGCGCTGCTCAGGGTTGTGTGAGTCTGTGCGATGCCATGATTGTAGGAACTTACTGCACCCACAGGGGGGGGCCATACTCTGCTCAGTGGGAGCAGGAGTGGAGGACAGCGTCATCACCTTGGCCTGGTTTCGGAACTGGGCATTCTGCTCCAAAAGAACCTCATTTGTGGCAATGAGATTTGAAACCTGAGAAACACACGAGACATGGATTAAAGAAAATATGTCTGTGGACTGGATTCCAAAATTTCAACTGCCAGGAAGTCTTATCATTTATCATAAACAAGGTTATAATTATATAATTTTTCAAACTACATTATTCATACTTTAAGTTAAAAAGGAAATTGTTTGACAGCTATAATTGCTTAACATTTAGAATATCTACCAAATACTGTAACCACAGTTTATGCAGTTATTTATTCTACAAGTTTGTGATCAAGCAGCCTTTACTCTTGCCAGAGTGTCTCTGTCTTATGATGTTCCTAAGAAGGGAAAACCCTTCAAAACACAGGTTTAGAGGCGGCTATCACTCTGAAATTGAGTGACGGTTCTTTTAAATACAGGGGCTAACATCAGGCAACAAATAAATCTAAAATACTTCCAAATTTCCTAATGCTTTTAAAGATTTGTTTACATTTATTATCTAATGACAAACTTAAGTTAAAGTTAATTTTCCATCAAATCAATTATGTATTGTTATATGGTGAAAAAGGATTGGGACCTAAATACCTCAGATTGCCAACACACTTAACTGTACAGATTAGTTTCAGTATCGATTATGCTGCTTCTTTTCTTTTACCCAAGGTCATATCTTCAAATAGCTTATTTTGTCTGATTAACCAAAAGCCCAAAATATTTTGTGTACTATCACATAAGACTATGAAAAGCAGCAAAACCTCACATATGAGAAGCTGGAAGCATCAATTTTTGGGGGGTTTTACTTTGAAAAATTACTAACGATTATTTGTTGATTAAAATAGTTTCTGTGGATGGACTAATTGATTGATCGACTCATTGTTTCAAGCTCTACTTCAAACATCTGGTCCTAAATATATTAAACTTCATCTGAATTCCTTGTGACTCAAGTTGAATTTAAGGTTATGTAATATAAAAAAGGCACATGACACCATCATGTGGAAGGACCATATTAATTCATTTAGTACAGGAAGCATACGAAGTATCTTTGATAATATAATGCAATGTGATACCACAAACTATAATAACTGCTACCTTTGTTGAGCCTATTAAATGAAATTTAAGACTAACACATTGCATTACAGTGCATTATACCATCATCTGTGGCTGTTACTTTGCATATTAGCTGTTAAAAAGCTAAATCACAGCATACATTTAGGTTTGACTTAAAGGATTACAGGTACAAAGATTTCTCAGAGATCCAAATAATGTTTTTCCCCTCTCTCTCATTCTAACCTGCTTTTTCAACTCTTCCACTCTCTTCCTCAGCAGGGAGTTTTCTTCCTCCAGGAACCTGTACTCCAAAGGACGCGGTGGCAAGGTGGCTTGAAGTCCCAGCTCATAGTGCCCACCTCCACTCCCATCTGCCAGGCGCAACCCCTCCAGCCGCCGTCTCTTAATCTGCAGAGCGGTGTGGTCCATAGAGGCTTCTAGGGAGCTAGGATCAAACAGCCCACTTTCAAGCAGAGGGTCATACACTGAGCACGAGCTCCTGTCATAACGCCGCTGCCCTGAAGAACTTATGGACAAACAGCCAGTCATCCCACCTGCACCTACTCCCCCAACTCCAGAGATAACTGGATCTCTGCAGCCGCCCAGGCTGGGGCAACCCATCCCCATTATATTACTTCCACCTCCACCTCCCACAAGTCCTTGCATTCCTCCACAAGTACCTCCTCCTCCAACACCTATCCCTCCCCCAGCATTTACCATTCCACTGGCACCTGGCCCCACAACACCACCTACTCCAACCCTGGAAGGCTCATATTCATAGTCTTTTTTGACATGGCGAAATTTACATTTATTGCCCCTCTGGCACTCTCCTTTCAAGAAGTCTCTGCAGATAGGGACCTCCCCACGGCTATGGGGGAGATCCATGGGGGACAGGCCCAGTCGTGCAGCAACTTTCCCTCTTAGTCTGAGGGGTAGCTCTCCTGTTTTTTTGTAATAGTCCTCATCCTCTTTAGATCCATGGACAAAGCGGCAGTTGGAGCGCATACACTCCTTATTCTGGTGGTCATGACAGAAGATGAATTCGTTCTTTTGCACTCCCAAATCTGGCACCTCATTAAAGTCTGGGTGTCTAAAGCGGCAGCGCTTCCCCCTCTTGCAGACATTGCGTATGAAGTCCCTGCAGACACCGTCCAACGCCAGTCCTGCACCGTGCCCCCCACCTCCACCGTTCCCACAGCTGTTGCCATTTCCAAGCGCCCCTCCTCCCCCCATGCTCCCGGAGCCAGAGACGTTTCCACCAACACTTCCTCCTGAACCTCCTCGACCCTCTGTCGAGCCCCCTACCAAACCAGACCCAGGTCCTCCGTCCTCGCCCAGACCACCAGCACTCCCACCACCACCTGACAGGTAGGAACTGTCCCGGTCAGGCATGGCGCTCGGCCCAGCGCGAGGAGAAAACAGCACTCATGTGTATGAAGGGGGCTGACGTGACCTAGCAAACATTTACATGAGACAAGCAAAAAGGTCAGGAGTAGCTTTTTCATTGTAGCAGCGCAATCTCCTATTCAAAGATATGTAGGACAAAAACATAAACCTAAGTTGAGATATTAGATTTAGAACTGCAGGAGAATATGGATATGAAATAAGGAAGGGAATATATATTATATCTGGATAAGGCCAGGGCTGAAATAGTAGCACGTGACACCTGGTAATAATAAGTAACGTTAGCACCCCGGTGGTGTTGTTGTCACTGGATGAGCAGAGACAGTGTTTTGGTAAAATAGCAAAACACAACATTTGGATTCATATCAAACGAACCTAAATTCAATGCAAAGGTTATTTTTCGGTTTCATATACCTGAATAAAAGGTGCCGTCGTGCTCGTAGCACCATTTTAGACTTACATTAGCTAGCGAGAGTTATCTGGCCAACTGGCTACATGCTAATGTTGCCTTACCAAATAGAAACTACAAGCAGGATCCAGAGAGCAGACGGGTGACTCCCATGCAGAAAAGCGTTTCTCTAATTATCCGAAATTTCCACAGCTATAGTTGCGAACAACAACAACAAATACCACCAGGCGTGCGTTTTCTCTGTCACTTCCTCGAGGCCCTGTGCCGTTTACTACATTTCTTGTTGCATCTTTTACTACCAACGAAGAAGACGACCCTCTTCCTCGCCGTTTCCTCTGGGTGCGTTTGTGTCCTCTAGTGTGATAATAGTGAATTGCCCTCACTGACGTGTGTTTAGGGTGACCAGACGTCCCGAAAAATCCAGGACAGTCCCGAATTACGAGCGGTTGTCCCGACCCCTTTCCGGTTTGTCCCGAAAATTAGACCTAACATGAGTTTTGATTATAGCCTAATTTAACATATAGGCCTACTGATCGTTGTATAGTTCTCTTACTCCAGCAGGGTATGCAGGTTATCTGTGCATTGTGTCAACAGCGTTGTTATAGCCACAAAGTAACACTCGTGCTCTTTTCCCTTTTTTGTTTTCTTGTGGTTAGTGGAATTTACAGAGTAGCTTCAGGCAGCCACGGCACTGCCATAAGATCTGACACGCGCGCTGCGCAGACAGATGTGACACTGCACTGATGACATGAATAAAATAAATATATTATATAAGATCATGATTTACCTACATATCCACAGTTGTATTTTTCCTAATAACAGACAGGTGACTTCATGAACAAAAATAGTGAATTTAAGCACTGTGTTTTGATTTTCACGTGTGTTAATGTTCATTGACACTCAATGTACCTGTAGCCACGCCCAATGTTCTTTCACCGGGAAATAATTAATGCACGGGTTTAAATGTTTCATATTATACCATGGCAGTTATGTCGCCAAACCACGGTGAGATACGTTAAATAACATCTGGGGAAGTTGCATTTAATCTGATGCACTTTCACTGCCACTTCTTGTGCGTAACGTTAGTTCGACTGAAATGGGCGTAACATTTAGTATCAAAGCTGATAGTTAAGTAAATTATGCAGTGCCAGGAGCCAATTGACCAGCTAAGTGCTACTACAACTGACGTGTAGACTAGATAGCTTAATGTATATAATGATGAGCTGTCAAACCGCACGGTAGCTACTTCCAGATAAACTTCATTGTGTAACAGTTGTGTCTGTGTTCCTCATCTGTGCTCAGGCGTCCGGGCATGGCTGTGCAAGGTGTTTTCCACTGGATGCAAGCCTGCGTGGTGCTGCAGCTCTGCTTATCTGAAGCTCTGCCTGCTGCCCCAGAGACAGGCAGAAATTACTACGATACTCTCGATGTTGAGCCAACAGCAACTGACATCCAGATAAAGAAGGCTTTCCGCAAACTGGCCATAAAATACCACCCCGATAAGAACAAGAGCGCCGATGCAGAGACGACTTTCAGAGAGATTGCTGAAGGTAAAACGTGTCATTTTAATTTATAGTTTGTGTGTAATTTACACAGGTGAAATTAATTAATTCATAAATAGCCTACTTCCGCCGCATTGAATTTAACAAATAAATCAGACAATGCAAAAGCAATTTATTGATATTCCCAAAGTTATGGTCTTGACTGGTCTTGAAATAAAATCTTGAGTTCTCAATGTCAGAGAAGGAGACAAGACCGAGTACAAATGTGTGTACAGTGTGGTACTAAAGGATCTGAATACTTTTTCTACCACTGGCTACTGATGCAGTCTAATACAGCAGCCCTGGAATAAATCATATCTTTGTGAGGGTTATAAGGTTCAGTTTTGGCTAAAACTGTTTACAAGATTCAACTGTATTGTTACTTAGGATGTCTGTGGAAAGTATTTCAAACACCGTATACTGTACTATTGCACCACCAGCATACAGCCTCCTTCATGAACCTGAGTGTACTTTCATTGTCATATCTCAACCAAAGTTAAAGTAATAACCTCTTCCTCTCTTCTAGCCTACAAGGTGCTCTCCAACAAGGGGAAGAGGAGGCTGTATGACAGTGCGGGCCATGAGGCTTTCCTAAAAGATGAGGCCTCTGTTGATCCTGAGGACGAATATGAGACAAGCTTCCACTTCAGTTTTAAAGACCTCTTCCATGACCTCGATGATAGTCTCTTTGCGGAGGAGCCATACTTCCACTGGAGCTTTCACCAAGATGTGGAGGATGAGGACAGTCCACATGGACATTACAGTTTTGAAGATCCTGTCTTCAGCCTTTATTTTGGGGACGGAGAAGAAAATGAAGAAGAGTACCACTACTAGATATCCGGTGTCTTAGTCCTGTATCCTGCATGACTTATGTTTTAATTTGTTGTATTTTCTTGATAATAAAGTATCTATGTTAGAGTGTCTGTGTCTTATATTCAAACACAGTTAATAGAGTCACAATAGACCCTAAGTTAGCTGTGTGTTTCCTGCCTCTTTTATGGGATAACTTGCAAGTTGAGTGGTTGGTTTACAGGCTTGTGAGGTTGTAAGGCTGACATCTGCAGATACTGATTGGACCGTTATGCCACTTTTCCTGTGTGGGTGTGTCGAAGGTCCTGAGTTACTGACTAACGCACCACTTAGTCATCTTTTTCCCTGCGGCAGCAGTTTAGATTGGACAGGACCCATTTGCACTTTGACCCAGAGGATATCCTGTGCCTGCTCAGCAGTTGGAGTGTGAGCGCTCCAAAGCCAACATAAGACTAAAGATCTTAACAGCTTTATGCAGTTTTATTGAGATGAAAGGAGATTTGAGCATTCTACAAAGCAGATAAAAGAAAGACTGGATAAATTCACTTGCAACCTTGACAATGATGGTAAGTGTGCAAGAAAATATTCTTTTTGCCAACCTCCTGAGTATCATGTGACAACTTTTTACTGCATGCAGTCATCCACATATACAGTGTTGGCTAAGTGAAGTTTGTTATTCAGTTTAAATTTAGTGTGTAACTGTGAATTTCTTCCAAGGTATTGTAGTGGTTATATTGTTATCCACATTTTCTATTACAGGAAGAGGTAAAAGAAGTGACACCTTGTCTAAGTGTCCATGGTCATAACATCAAGGTTACAGAAGTGTTGAAAGACAGGGACACGCTTACCTTCCTAATAGTATCTCAAAAGGTCAGAAAGTGATTTATTGTTCATTTGCTGCACACGTTGCTAACATTGGATCTAGATGAATGCTGCAAACCATATGTCAGTTGATTTGTTTGAATTATGATACTGCAAAAACAGACAGCTCAAATGACATGTTGTCTCTCTTGTCTGTGTTAGCTGTCTGGGACGGGGGAGTACCATGTGGACCGGACCTATGATGATTTTGAATGGCTGCAGCAGCAGCTGTTCTTCCAGGAGGACATGCCTGGGATAGAGGGAGTCATAGTCAGTACTTTATTATTATATAATAAATTTAATATTTTATCTGCACACAATCTCTTATTTGTCTTCTAAATGTACGAACACTTTTCTTACAATAACAGACCAAGAAGATTAGTACTGGAACATGATGTGAAAGGACAAACCAAACTGTGCATTCTGTGGAACCTTTGATAACTTCCTTTTGGATGTGTGCATGCGTTTATGTTCTCGTTTTTTTTCCTAATGGCCTTACTGTAGTTGTAATGTTGAATTGGGTGTGTTAAAAGCCAAACTGCAGACATTTACTTTCAAGTGAAAAAATCACGTGTTCTTGTAGCACAATGCTTTTGGAACTGAGACAATCACAAACCAACATGTCTACGTCATACACTGACTCAACCGCTGGTTAGAAAATGTGTTACAACCATCCAAGTTATGGGGATCTTATAAAATGCTTTTTTCTCTTTACATCATTGTTTCCTTTGTAATCAGGAAGTTGATTTTAGTGCTGCCATTGTGCCCGATACCCAGTCCTGTAGAAAATGATCTAGAGGCTTTGTGGTCTGATTGGATGTTTCTTTCAAGAAAATGCAACTGGTGTCTTTCAGGAAGTAATGTTGCTATACTACTTCCTGTTGTGCTGGTGACATTGGTGTGGTGTTTGTGATGTATTACACAAGTGGATGTTTTGTAATATCTGATCCAGGGAAATCCAAGCACAGCACATTTCTAAAGCATTGACCTTATTTAGGTGCCTGTCCCAAGCATAGCATTCAATGGAAGAAATAAAGTTTGGATTTTGGGGGAAAAAACAATAGCAGAAATTAGCTTTACTTTAAAAAACAATGACCGAAGTATTGATTTTTTTACTGTTATTTTTCTTCCAGTTCCCTCCTCTTCCTGCAAAGCCTCAGGTGAATGCATCTGCCAAGGTTATAAAACAGCTTGGTGAGTAAATCTGAAGAAATAAAATAAAGATTTAAAAGTAAAATTAACCAAATATATTTTAATTTCAGTGTCTATTCTGTTCTACAGTGCTGAATGAATGAAGTGTTAGGATCGAAGTGTTGATGGTTCTTCCTGCAGGTTTCCTTGGTTTAGGAGAGTGGCAGCCATACTGTAAAGCACTGGAAGCCTTCCTCCGGCAGGTTACTGCACACAGCATACTCAGCAAAAATAAAGCTGTGGAGATCTTCCTGACTAGCTCAGACGTAAGTGGACATTAATGAACAGCCACTTTTTAAATCTCATTTTTTACAATTTGCCCCATTAAAAAGAAAGAATTTTATGTTACAAAAGGGTGCAATGTGATAACTTTTTACAAGAGAGATGGATAATAAAGGGTTAAATTTCCATTCTAAATGTTTAGAAGAGAAAATGGAGGGAATCATGTGAGAAATATTGTAACCTCCAAATGTATGGAGGACTGAAGGCAAATGGGCTGCACTTACCATAGCATTATAACAACTTTCTGCTCGTAACCTCATAACACAACTAATGGTTCATTCATATAACAAGTGTCCAATATGATCCACTAGTTGTGTCCTCAAAACTCAGGCAAATGTATGGCCACATTTGGAGGAGCCTGTGGACTGTGGACTTTAAAGAAGGCAGTCTCTGAATTGGGACGCAGCTAAAGTGAAGCCTTTGTCTGTAGATATAGGAATGGAAGGACAAAATGAGTGCACTGTGTGAAATTTCAAAGGCACCAAATGATGAAGTGTACAGACTCTCAGCCCTGCTGGGTGTGCCTGCAAATAACATCAACAGGTGAAAGAAGACATCACCTGATGCTCAAGTCAAAGATGCACATGCAAACTGTTTCCCTAAAACATTTGCGAGAGGGATATTAAAGTCTGTTGTGTTGTTAGACTGTAGTCTTTAACAAGGAAGTGTTATTCAGTTGCTGCATGTGGCACATACAAGATATCCGTTTTACACAGTTTTGAAAAGAAACAGGATGATATAACAATATACAATACAATACATATAGTTTATATAGTATATCATACAGATAACGGTCACCTTACGAAGCAATACATTATTACACACACACACACACACACACACACACACACACACACACACACACACACACACACTGAGTAATACACTTTATTGTAGCACAATAAACTATTGTTATTGTCTATCTGTCTTATAGACTTCCTCTCATATTTCTTAAACTGTGCTTAAACAGTGTTAACTTTAAAAATGTTGAAGCTTGTTTGTGCCCTTGTGTGTAGCCTCCAGGCAGACAGAGAGCAAGGAAAAACATTTTCAACCGGCTGAGTCAAGCTGTGGAAGAGATGAGGAAAGAAGGCCATAAGGTACATAACTGGGACTCATACAAAGCGAATTTACAGCCTCTACACCTGTAAGCCAGGTTTTAATGCCATAATGTCTGTATCCTCAGGATGTGGATGAGTTCTTTCAAACTGAACGTGATCACAACCTTGTTCTAACTGGCTGTACCAAAACTGCAGCTGAGGTGAGCCACTCCCGTATTTGTCTAAATGTTTGTCTTCCTTCTCCCCTTTTCTATCTCTCGCACACCCAGACACACCGTCCTGTTTGGTTTTTGACCTCTTGTTTTTCTTGCAGAGATTCCTGGATGTGGTGCTAACTGAGCAAAGTAAGAAAACTGCTGCTTTTTATTTTTAAAGTTGGCATTACTTGGGATTTACATGTGTTCAGATTCAACTGTTGATATTTACAGGAGGACATGTAGTGTATTAGTGTTCATCCACATTACCACGCTCATTGTATTCGTCCCAAGTCTGATGTAAGTGTGAGCTCCCTGTTCTTTTTGTTTGTAGAAATAGCAGTGGCCTCTGGGTACTTCTCGGCTGCTCTGCATCTCTGTGTGGAACCAGGGGAGAATCCTGACACACAGGCTTTCTCTAAGTGAGACAATAATAGCATTGGTCCCCGGCCAATATCACATGTACTTGTACTGTAATGTTACTGCATCTGAGCCTTGCATACAAGTTACAATAAAATAAAATAAAAACATTGACACTTTCTTCTTACAGAGCTTGTGTGAAATTATCAGAAGTATTTGACTCTATGAAGGTAAGGTGTTTATCCTTTTTAATAGAAATTGGTTTACATCGCATTGCACGAATGCTTTGCTAAATATTGTGCATGTGATATTCTTGTGTGTGGGCAGAAAAATATGGCAAGAGTTGCTGAGAACAATGTGAGCACTCTTGGGCTAGGTCTGGACCTGGAGTCGCGCTACCAGGAGGCAGAAAAGGTGTGTCTCCTCATTTTGTGTTCATCTTATGTACACTATATTAGCAAATGTTTTAGGACACCCCTCCGATTCATTGAATTCAGGTGTTCAAATCACTTCCATGGCTACAGGTGTATACAGTGGGTACGGAAAGTTTTCAGACCCCTTTAAATTTTTCACTCTTTGTTTCATTGCAGCCATTTTCCAAAAATCAAAAAAGTTCATTTTATTTCTCAGTAATGTACACTCAGCACCCCATCTTGACAGAAAAAAAAAAACAGAAATGTAGAAATTTAAAAAAGAAAAACTGAAATATCACATGATCATAAGTATTCAGACCCTTTGCTCAGTATTTAGTAGAAGCACCCTTTTGATCTAATACAGCCAGGAGTCGTTTTGGGAAAGATGCAACAGTTCTGTCAGGTTGGATGGTAAACGTTGGTGGACAGCCATTTTCAGGTCTCTCCAGAGATGCTCAATTGGGTTTAAGTCAGGGCTCTGGCTGGGCCATTCAAGAACAGCCACGGAGTTGTTGTGAAGCCACTCCTTCGTTATTTTAGCGGTGTGCTTAGGGTCATGGTCTTGTTGGAAGGTAAACCTTCGGCCCAGTCTGAGGTCCAGAGCACTCTGGAAAAGCTTTTCGTCCAGGATATCCCTGTACTTGGCCGCATTCATCTTTCCCTCAATTGCAACCAGTCGTCCTGTCCCTGCAGCTGAAAAACACCCCCACAGCATGATGCTGCCACCACCATGCTTCACTGTTGAG